TTCCCTACAGTGATTAGACAGACGGCCGACGTTCACAAGAGAACCAAGGCAACTTCTGCCCTCTGCTATTACCCCCATAGAGCCAGTTTGGTGTAGTGGCTAGGAGTACAGACTCTAATATGGGAGAACCGGGTTTAATTCCCCACTCCTCCACGTGCAGCTGCTGGTGTGACTGGGTCAGTCATAAGTTCTTTCAGAGCTGTTCACTCAGTTCTCGAGAGAGCTCACTCAGCCCCACCTGCCTCGCAGGGTTATCTGTTGTGGGGAGGGAAAGCGATTGTAGGATGCTCTGAGAATCCTCTGGGTAGTGAAGGGCAGGGTATGAATCCAATCTCCTCCTCTTCTAACAACTTCCTCACTCTAGCACACATCTATACTACAACCAAAGACCATTTTGATGTGGCACAAGATAAGAACATAAGAGAAGCCAATGTTGGATCAGGCCAGTGGCCCATCCAGTACAACACTCTGCGCAGCGAATTCCATGTGTTAATCACTCTTTGGGTGAAGAAGTACTTCCTTTTATCTGTTCTAACCCGACCGCTCAGCAATTTCATTGAGTGCCCACGAGTTCTTGTATGGTGAGAAAAGGGAGAAAAGTACCTCTTTCTCCACCTGCTCTATCCCGTGCATAATCTTATAACCCTCGATCATGTCACCCCTCAGCCGTCATTTCTCCAAGCTAAAGATCCCCAAGTGCAACCCTTTTATCATTCTACTTGCCCTTTTCTGCACTTTTTCCAATGCTATAATATCCTTTTTGAGGTGTGGTGACCAGAACTGTACACAGTACTCCAAATGAGGTTGCACCATTGATTTATACAGAAAAAGAAGAAGAAGAGATTGGATTTATACCCCGCCCTTCACTACCCAAAGGAGTCTCAGAGCGGCTTACAAACTCCTTTCCCTTCCCCTCCCCACAACAGGCACCCTGTGAGGTAGGCGGGGCTGAAGAGAGCTCTGACGGAAACTGCTCTTTTTCAGGAACATCTGTGCCAGAGCTTGTGACTGACCCAAGGTCACATCAGCAGGTGCAAGTGGAGGAGTGGGGAATCAAACCCGGTTCTCCCAGATTAAAGTCCGAGCACTTAACCACTACACCAAACAGGGTACTTTGCCAGACGGTCAGCTCCATCCTAGATCAAGAACCCTCAGGCACCTTTTGTAAACTTTCCAGATGCTGCACAACTGAGCTCACAGGACACACACCCCCGCTCCCCCCCCCTTCCCATGACTGAACTCCCCTTACCTTTCCCTCCACGCCCCAGGCACTTGCCCACGAGGCAACAGAAGGGGCGAGGCAGTCAGACAGGCCCGACAAAGAGGCCGTGTGGAAAAGACCTGGCCTCGGAGACCATCTTGCCTCTGAGGCCAGCCGGCCACGCACGGCCCTCATGACCGCCGGGTCCCCCAGGTCATTCTGTTCGTCTGCTTCCTCACTCGCAGGATCCTCCTCTGGTTCAGCCATGTCCATCTCCTCTTCCCCCATCTCCTCTGCAGTTTCGTAAGTGACCTCCGGCTCAGAGGGGTGGCTTTCGTCTTCTGACACATCTTCTAGCATCAGCTGCTCCTCCGCCGTCTCTGAAGGGCCTGCCTCTTCCCCTGCAGGCGCTGGTTCTTCTAATCCATTCACAGGAGCCTCTTCTGGGTCTGCGGCCAAGGTTTTTACCTCACTCTCTTCCAGATAGGCTTTAGGAGGGAGGGAGGAAGGGGGGAAACTGTCAGAACAGTCACGAGAGGAAAAATAGGGCCCGTGGCCCAAACATGGATGCAGCAAGCTCATTGCTAGGATCTCGCACCACGGAAGAGAAATCACCTGGTTAAAATTCTAGGCTAAACCAACCTCTGGTTTGTTTACACGGAACTCCTGTTATCTTTCTGTGCTTCACAAACAGCAAGCTCTGATCTGCAACCCAGGGGCATTATGGATAGGCCATTAGGATGCTGGACCTCGATTGCACTAAGGGCTAGGCGAATTTAAATGGCAGATTAGGTGCTGGTGGATCACACTGGAATGGAAAGTGAAGATCTCACATATTTGAGAATGTTGAGCTCCGACACAGGATGCTGGAGCTTTAACCTGGACGCCATCCCATTTAATCACCTTTTCAACTCCGTACAGTCACTTCTCGAGATCTTGCCATAGCCAGAAACGTTTACAAGTTCTACAGAAACTGTCTAGGTGCATCAGAACAGTCACGAGAGGAAAAATAGGGCAAAGCCCAGCAGGAACTCATTAGCATAATAGGCCACACCCCTGACAGTACAGCTCATTAGCATATTAGGCCACACCCTGACAGCACAGCTCATTAGCACATTAGGCCGCACCCCCATGTTACCAGAAGTGTGGTTCTCCAGCCACACCCACCTTTTGCTTCTTATTCTGTTTACCTTGTTTGTTGTCAAAACCCAGGGCTTTTTTGTAGCAGGAACTCTTTTGCATGTTAGGCCACACACCCCTAATGTAGCCAATCCTAATGAGTTTCTGCTGTTGGGTGTGGCCTATTATGCTAAGGAGTTCCTGCTGGGTGTGGCCAACTTGGGAGGCAGCCGGAACGCCGTATCTGTGCGTTCCTGCCCCAAAATAGCCCTGCATATTCAAGAACCTTTGACACAGTTCACAAGGAATATTTTATACTGGAGGATTTTTAAGCTTGGAAGAGAACCGAAAACAGCGGCTCATTTTTATCACAGCATGCTACTACTAATACAATATTAAGATCCTCTTATTTTTTGCTTCAATTACGGCCCAACTTTCTCACTGAGATTCATACAATATATTTCTGAAACAGCATGCTATCGTTACTGTATGAGGCGCTGGGTATTTTTCAATGAGGTGGCATGGAGAATTTAAGCTCTTACCTGAGGAAGTGAAGGTCAAGTTATTGTAAAGATCGATCTCGTCCTCTTCACCTGTTTTGTCAAGCAGAAGTTCTTCTTCTGCCATAAAGTAATCCTCCAGAATCTGGTTGGAAAGACAATAATATGGGGAGTCATCCTGCTGCCAACTCCTTCCAGGGAACTGGATCAAAATTTCTTTTGAGAAATTTCTTTTGAGAATATGGAGCACCTGAGCCATTGGTGAAAATAGAACACCAGTTGCTGTCTTTCTGAACTGTCATGGAATTAGGGCCTGGAGTGAGCCTTAGTACTTTAATTCCTATAGCAATTAGCCTTTAAAGTTGAATCTGTGGTTTTTTTTCCAGGAGGCTTCAGGACTCTACTAAGTGCTGTGGGTTTCTGTACATGATTTTTGCCTCACATGACTTTTGCTTACTTTTCAGAAGTCAGGAGTTGCTATTGAATTCTAAATAGAGTATCTGAAGTTAAAGACAGTCTTGACCGTCTGAGTCAATCTTGCTTAACCCTGACTTTTCTGACCCTAGAGATAGAAAGACCCGGCTGACTTTGTTGTATGTGTCAAATGTATGTCAAACGCTCGTCACAGACTTGACTGACAGTTACATTAGCCCCTATGGTTGGAAAAGGGTACTTAATGTCTGAATTTAGACATTGTTGTTGTTCTGGCCAGCTATCCTTCCATTACGGGTCTTGACAGAGCAACCAAAGATATCCTTTATAGAATCAGAAGTGCACTGTTTACGTATTTGGGGTTGTGTTGAAATATTCTGTTGAATGTTGAAATGCTACAAAAAAGTTTTCTGACTTAGGAGTGTGCAATAGAATAAACTGCGTTTTGGTTTTAAAACCTCTCTCTCTCTGCAATTGGGAAGCCAGCTTCTCTCCATCCCAAAATGAACACAGTGGAGATGGGAGTGTATGAAAAGAAGAAGAGATTGGATTTATACCCCACCCTTCACTTGGAGTCAGAGCGGCTTACAAACTCCTTTCCCTTCCCCTCCCCACAACAGACACCGCTGTGGGGTGGGTGGGGCTGAGAGAACTCTGACACAAACTGCTCTTTCAGGAACAGCTGTGCCAGAGCTTGTGACTGACCCAAGGTCACATCAGCAGGTGCAAGTGGAGGAGTGGGGCATCAAACCCGGTTCCCCCAGATTAGAGTCCGCACACTTAACCACTACACCAAACAAGGTTCCTGTACCCCTCATTTCCCCAGCATGAACTTATAACCTCTCCCTTAGAGAGATGGAGCTATCTGCCACATTTGAGGCATGACTTCAACACAACACCGGTCGAGTGGTGGAAAGTGCTGTCGAGCTGCAACGGAGTTATGGCGACCTCTCAAGGGGTTTTCAAGGCAAGTGGCGAACAGAATGGGTTTGCCATTGCCTGATTCCAAGTAGCATCTCTAGACTTCCTTGGTGGTCTCCCATCCAAGAATTAAGCAGGGCCAACCTTGCTGAGATGTGACAAGACCAGGCTAGCCTGGGCCAGCAAGGTCAGGGCCGACACAACACTAAGGGAAAAAACAGACCTTGCCCATGTGACCATTCACACACCCAGTGTCTCGTTTAAGCTGGACTGCTGTCAAGTGCAAAGTGACTTCAATGCACACCAGCCTCCCAGGGTAGGGCTCTGAGTGTATGCATGACTGCCAAGGACATTTTAGAGCCAGTTTGGTGTAGTGCTTAGGAGCACGGACTCAAACCTGGAAGAACCAGGTTCGATTCCCCACTTCTCCACACGCAGCTGCTGGTGTGACCATGGGTCAGTCACAAGTTCTCTCAGAGCTGTTCTCTCAAGGGCAGTTCTGTCGAGAGCTCTCTCAGCCCCACCTACCTCACAGGGTGTCTGTTGTGCGGAGGGGAAGAGAAAGGAGATTGTAAACTGCTCTGTAAACCTTTGGGTAGTGAAGTGCGAGGTATAAATCCAATCTCTTCTCCTCTTCTAATTTAACCAAGGCACTGAGCACATGTCTCTAGGTAAGTTCTTTTGGCCATGAGACATCACATTTAAATCAAGGTTCAGTCTTTTTACTGTAAGAAACCTTTAGACTTCAGCCTGGGAAACCAGACTATCTGCAACAGCTCCTGCCATTAGTGTGTGGGAACACAGAACCGATACATACAGAATTTAAGGGGGCATCATGAAAAGCAGATTTTATTTAATTCATCGATACCCACTCTTCTCCCCAAAGTTGCCTACATTGTTCTTCCTCTCCTCCATTTTACCCTCACAACAACCTTGTGAGGTAGGCTAGGCTGAAAGTGCACGAATGGCCCAAGATCACCCAATGAGCTTCCATGACACAAGTAGGGATTCGAAGCCAGGTCTCAGTCCCTGATACTTGTCTGACACCCTTAACCAATCAAACCACACTGGCTCTCAGATACACTGAACTTAGGTCAGTAGCATCCTTCAGAAAGTTAATTGCAACACACCAGAGGAAGTCCTTACCATCACCATAGGACTTCTTCCTCAAAGGCAGCTAGATTTGAGTTCCATAGCACCTGACAAACAAAGGGAGATTGGTCTACTGAAAGCACAGATACCCCCCGAACTCTAAGCTGCTACTGGACTCAAATCTAGCTTTTCCACTGCTTTTCAACATGGCTACTTTCTGAAACTGTCCTCAAAGGCAGAGTCCAGTGGCACCTTTAAGACCAACGAAGTTTTATTAAAGGTGTGAGCTTTTGTGTGCATGCACACTTTGTCAGACAATGAAATGGAGTTACAGATCATTGCTGTATATATATATAGGGGTGGCCTGTTAAATTAGCATGCAAAATAGTAAAGCTCACACCTTGAATAAAACTATGTTGGTCTTAAAAGTGCCACTGGACTCTGTTGAGTTGCTTCAGACCAACACAGCTGCCGAACTTGATCTATCCGCAAAGGCAACATCCCATAAGCTCCTCCACAGCCCCATAGCTAGGGGATTTTTGGGGAGGGGGCCGCCAGCTAACAAAATCAAAGTTAATTAAATTAAATGTACATTGATTAGTGGGACTCCTTGGAAGCTGGCCTTCCCCGAAGGCACCACTGCACCCCTGCCAGGTCCCAGGGCAAGTGAAGGGGGGTAATGACCAAGGCACTCATAGCGTTCAGTTTTCTGGCAGGCAAGTCAGAAGGTGGTGAGTTGAGGCACTTTGGGGCCAGCCTGGGAGGGAGGGGCCCAGAAGAAATGCTAGGGGGCCGGGCCCCATGGGCCCCACTTTAGCTACGGGCCTGCTCCTATACAACCCCTTTACCCCACCTCCCATCAGCCTGGATAACTAAACCTACAGCTGTTAACACACAACACCACACTCCCAGCTGTCCCCGTGGGGTTACAGGCTGCACTTGGGGATACTCCAAGCACCTTGATTGTTCACAGGGCTGTTGCTTTAAAACTGAGGCTCTGCTTTAATCATAACTAGGATGTTCTTCCTGAGAAGCAAAATGTACAAGCTTGCTCCCATAGGCTCCACCACCACATCCCATCAAAACACAACACTGCCAAAAAAACAACAAGAACCCCAAAATCCACATTCCTTCCTGCAAACAAGCAGGGTTTAGCTAACCACGCTGAAGGGTGCAGCCTGGAATAATCCCCTCCCCAGAGAGGTGTGCCCCTAGCCCGCTCACTTTCAGCCTTCAGGAGGCAGCTGTAGGTTTTATTTAGAACTGCGTTTAAATAAAGCAGTCCTAAATTGTGGGGTTTTTTTTTAAAAAAAGGTTTTATGCACTCTCATGCAAGCCACCTTCAGCTCTATAAGAAAGGCTGCTAAGAAATGTTTTAAATATATTTATTTCCCTTATGGCAGATGTTTTAAATAATTTATACCGTAAGCCAACCTGAGTTCCATAAGAAAGGCTGCTAAGAAATGTTTTAAATAATCATTATTATAACATAAGCCACCTTGCCCTCCATAAGAAAGGTTGCTAACAGGACATTTTAAGTAATTATTTATACAGTAAGCCACCTTCAGCTCTATAAGAAAGGCTGCTAAGAAATGTTTTAAGTTTATTTATTTATCATTTGGCAGATGTTTTAAATTATTATACTGTAAGCCACCTTGAGCTCCGTATGAAAGGCTGCCAATGTTTTAAATAATTGTTATTATACTGTAAGCCACCTTGCCCTCCATAAGAAAGGCCGCTAACAAATGTGTTACAGAATTATTTATACAGTAAGCCACCTTCAGCTCTGTAAGAAAGGCTGCCACAAAATGTTTCTTTATTTCTTTATTTGTCATATGGCAGATATTTTAAATTGTTATTTATTCTGTAAGCCACCTTGAGCTCCATAAGAAAGTCTGCTGTTTTAAACAGCAATTATTATATTGTAAGCCACCTTGCCCTCCGTAAGAAAGGCTGCTAACAAGACATTTTAAATAAACATTTGTAAGCCGCCCTCAGCGCCATAAGCAAGCATGCTAAATAAACCATTTTAAAGAACAATTATTATTTATACCATAAACTGCCTTGAGCTCCATAAGGACGAAAGGCGCCTAACAAGTGAATAGATAAAAAGAAAAAAATAGAAACTTTAAACGAATGACCACATACAACGAACTATATTTTAGTAGATTTAAGCTTAAAGCTATGAATTCAAACCGGATGTATGATCACCATCTCTTGGGTTTTTAGAGGGTACTTTCTCCCTTACAGTTTCCCCTTCCCATTTTTCTGTTTGTAGTTCTGAGAAAATGCAAAATTAAAAAAAACCCTGCGGGGGCCAAAACAAAATATATAAAAAGAGAAAAAAATTAAGAAGTCATTTGGGAACAAGCAAGTCCTTTAAAACTCTGAACGGGGGTGGGGAGCAGTGCTCCCTCTAAGCTGAGTTGGTGTGAGCTAGCTCACAGTTTTTTAGCCTCCGGCTCACACATTTTCGTATTAGCTCAGGAAGGAGGGCTCCAGAGCAAACTGGTTTATGCAGTAGCCAAATTACTGCTCATAGCTTTAATGCCAGTAGCTCACAACCAATGTTCCCTCTAAGCTGTGGAGTCCTGTGAGCAAAAATTCTACTTGGTGAGCGACTGGCATTAAATCCGTGAGCAGGTGATTTGGCTACTGCATAAATTAGTTTGCTCTGGAGCCCTCCTTCCTGAGCTGAGACAAAAATGTGCGAGCCGGAGGCTAAAAAACTGTGAGCTGGCTCACACTAACTCAGCTTAGAGGGAACCCTGTTTCACAACGTGGAATTTTTGCTCATAAGACTCTACAGCTTAGAGGGAACATTGGTGGGGAGGGCTTACCCCCGAGTCGACACACCCAGGACGGAGGGCACTAGCCGCTGCTCGCCTCCACAAAAACCCACCCTCAACCAAGCACCCAGGTTCCCCCTCAGGACAGCCTCGCGGGGCAGCCTGTAAGGCGCCAACAAGCTCTCTCTCATTTCGGCCGAGGAGCAGCCACTCGACACCCCCGTGAACACGACCGCCCCCCTCCCTCGAACGAGACCCGAGCAGCAGAGGAGGGCGACGCGGCCCGAGACGGAGAGGGCGCGGGGAGGCTGCCTAGCGGGCCGAGGCACCGGCCGAGGCGCCCCCGAACATAGCGGAGGGAGAACTAGGAGGGGAGTAGCGTCACTCACCACAGGCCGCGAAACTCCGCCCCCCTCCGCCATCTTTCTCTCCCTCAGCCAGCATCATTGGCAGCCTCTTTTGAAGCCCCTTCTCAGGGCGGGGCTTGCAGACAGCGGGGCTGCAGCGGATTCTCATTCAGTCTGAGTCCAGCGGCGCCTTTAGAACCAGCAGCGTTTCCTCCTGGGTCGAAGCTTCCGCGCGTAGCGCGTCTGAAGAAGCGTGCAGGGCTCACGAGAGATCACACATACTGAAGACTTATGTCGTTCAGTCGCACAGTCGAGTCCGACTCTTCGCGGCCCCATGGACCAGATCACGCCAGGCCCTCCTGTCTTCCGCCGTCCTCTGAAGTTGGCTCAACTTCAATGCGGACTTTTGTTGGCAGGGTGATGTCTCTACTTTTTGTCATGCTGTTTAGGTTCGCCATCGCTTTCCTCCCAAGGAGCAGGCGTCATTTCATTTCATGGCTGCTGTCACAGTCTGCGGTGAAGACTTATACCTGTCAACAAAGACAACTTTGTCGGTCATGAAGGGGCCACCGGACTCAAGCTGTGTTCTGTTGCTCCAGACCCACACAGCTGCTTACCCATTTTTGGAGCGGTTCGCTGGCAGGGCCGGCTCACCCACTAGGCGAACTAGGCATTCGCCTAGAGCGCCGGACCCTGGATGGGGCGCCAAGCTGTGCCTCTTCCCCTCCTCCCCCCTTTGGTGGCGGCAGGGGGGGGAAAGAGGCGGTGGTGGCGGTAGCAAAAGGGTGGCTAGCTCCAGAGGTCTCCAGGCCCCACCGGGAGGTTGGCATCTGTGCCACAAGGCAGCCTCGCCTAGGGCGCAGAAACACCTCGAGCCGGTCCTGTTCGCCGGTATCTTTTTTTGTTAGCGGTTAAGGACAGGGAGGAAGTCAGCGCTGTCTTTCACACTGGCATACCATTTAACAAGGGCAGAGTCCGGGAGCACGTTCAAGACTAATGAAATTTGTGGCAGGGCAGGAGCTTTCGTGAGACACTGCTCAGTTCTTCAGATCTGAGAAGAACAAGAGTCCAGGAGCACCTCAAAGACTAACGAAATCTGTGGCAGGGTAGGAAGTTTTCTGAGTCACCGCTCACCTCTTCAGACATTCACTTCTTCAGATAACAGTGACTCACAAAAGCGCCTGCCCTGCCACATTTTGTTAGTCTTTAAAGTGCTATCGGACTCTTGCTTCTTTTTTTTAGATCTGAAGAAGTGAGCAGGGACTCAGGAAAGCTCCTCCCCTGCTACTAATGTTGTCAGTCTTTAAGGTGCCCCTGGACTCTTGCTCTTTTCTATTGCTACAGACGGACTAACCTGGCCAGCCATCTTGGGCTACCTCCATTTAAACAAGGGCCTGGGATCATTTCGCACTCTCTAAAAACCTTAGCAAAACAAAGCAAAAAAATAATAATAAAATCTAGCGGCAGCTTCAAAGTGTAGCGCCACTTTTATTTCCATAGGGGCATTGGTAGGTTGCAGCCCACTATGACCTTAGCGTGCATCCCTCCCCTCACAAATGTTAATTAGTTCAGCTATACATCTATATTTTTTAAAACCCTGCATGAGATCTGTTACATTTTCATTTATTTATGCACGCTCTGTTCTCCTCCCCAAAACACTTTACATTGTTCTCTGCTCCTTTTTCTTTCTTTTAAAAATTTTTTTTATTGAGATTTTAACATTAACAAAGGAAATAAAGACAGAACATTAACATTGGTTACAAATCCACCAAAAATGTAATAAACATTGCCAATAATCATAGTTATTCACATACTTAGAACCAGACGACAAGAATACCGAGCAGTCCAGCTAGTAAACGTTTGATAGAACATTGTATTTGGTCATAACACCCAATCATGGCATATAAAATGATGATATTGCGAGTGTTGAGAGGGACTGATTCGTTCCAAAATGTATTCCAGCTTTTCCAAAATTGAATGCCGTCTCCCGTAAAATGATTCAGCTTTATATGATGGCTCATTGCAGGCAAGCCTATCTGAAATTTTGTCCATTTACAAGTGGCTCCATAGATTAGAGTAACAAGATCGTAAACTTAATGGAGTTAGACCTTTCCAGTTGGTAGCTATCATTGTTTTAGCAGCTGAGAATAAAAGGGTAATTAACTTTTTACTTTATAAAGGGATTGAGAGATCCAATAATTTAAGAGTATGATTTCCGGACTTAGGGGGATGGCATACCCTGTCAGGTTCTCAATTTCAGATATAACTTCTAGCCAAAAAGATTGTACTATAGGACATTCCCACCACAATGCATGTAGGAGCCTTTATTGCCACAGTTTTCCCAACACATAGGTGATAACTTAGAGTTAATTTTGTGTAATTTCAAAGGTGTCAAGTACCATCGTGTAATTAATTTGAAATTTTGTTGTAGGACATATATAGATTTAGTACTAGCTGCATAGGATGACCATATTGCCTCCCAAAACTCTGCTCCTTTTCTATCATCACAACAACCCTGTGAGGTAGGCCAGGCTGAGACTGTGCGGCTGGCCCAAGGTCATCCAGCAAGCTTCTATGGCAGAGTGGAGATTCAAACCTCAGCCTCCCAGGTCTTAACCCCTTAGTAATCTAACTACTACAGCACTTTGGCTCTTATTGTTAATCTTTCTTTGCCTGCCTAACAAAAGTTGCTAAGCACTAGGGTTGCAACTCTGTGTTGGGAAATTCCTGGAGACTTGGGAGTGGAGCTTGGGGAGGGCAGGGTCTGAGGAGAGGAGGGACCTCAGTGGGGTACAAAGCCAAGGCATTATACTCCATTGGAGTCCCTCCCCTCTCCAAACCCCACCTTCCCCAGGCTCCACCCCCAAAATCTCCAGGCATTTCCCACAGCAGAAGAGAAGAAGAAGAGATTGGATTTATACCCTGCCCTTCACTACCCAAAACAGCTGTGCCAGAGCTTGTGACTGACCCAAGGTCACACCAGCAGCTGCGAGTGGAGGAGTGGGGAATCAAACCCGGTTCTCCCAGGTTAGAATCCGCGCACTTAACCACTACACCAAACCGGCAGCCCTTGCTGTAATTCTAGGAGATCTTCAGGGGCTCTACTTGGAGGCTGGTGGTAACCCTAGGGCCCTCTCATCTACCCTAAGCTGGGTTGCCAGCTCTGGCTTGAGAAACGCCTGGAGATTTGGGGGTTGGAGTCTGAGGAGGGCAGGGTTTGGGGAGGGGAAGGGACTTGGGGAGGGGCATGATGCCAAAGAGTCTGAAGACTTCAGGCAAGGCTGCAGTTCTTCTGAAACCAATTCTCAGCTGGCTGACGTGTTTGGAAAAGTTTGTCAAAGCCGGTGTGAAGACTACAAACCTAATAATACCATAGGGATACCTTTACAATGACATTCAAGTGCATCCCCAGACATGGCCTATCCAATAGTTACAAGGCCTATATCACTCTAAAGAGTCACCCACCTTACATGGCATCATAGGAAACTGCAGCCTTACCTGAAGTCAAACCATGAGAGGCGTCTTCAGACAAAAAATTATACAAGTTCTTCTCAACTGCATTATGCCTTTAAAATACTTTGTTATATACCCAGGAAGGGCTGCGGTCACACGGAACAGAAGCCACACAAGTGAGACGGAAAACAGGCGGAGTTTCCAGGCGCGATCTCACCAGCACATCTGGGAAGCGTAGCACTCCCGTGGCTCAACCGAGGCTTCCAGCCGAAACTGCGTGGCAAAAAACTAGTACCTCAGAGGTACTAGTTTCCGGAAACTGCGGGGCAAGGGCGGGCGTCTGATCGCGTTTCCGGTGGCATCCGGCGCCCGCCCATGTCCCCTTGCAAATAAGGTGTGTTTTTTTTGTCCAAGTCTCTGTGGATGCGCACCCAACGGAGCATGCGCATTTGTCATGTACACACAAAAACAAAACAGTTTGCCGCGGCGCCCGCTTCTTCGTTGTGCGCCGGCTTGTCCTGTGATCGGCACCTCTCCCTTGCCATGGAACCTCCACGGTACCTCCACAGGACCTCCACAGGAGGTCTGATCGCGTAACTGCGCAGTAGTTTGCCCCAGGGCAAACAGCCATGCTTCTCCCTCGCAGTTTCCTGCCCGTGTGACCGGGGCCAGGGTTATGCATTTGATGTTCAAGTATTATTAAGTTCCTTTAAGCTGTATATCATTTTTATTATATAACAATAGAGAATCTGTCATATGAGTTAGCACAGTGTGGTTTATTTTTGTTCTACACAATCTTTCCCCGTGTGCTCCTTTGGTTTATTTATTTATTATTTTCAGTTTATCTCCCGCCTTGCCTGCACAGGCAGGCTCAAGGCGGTGGAGATTACCCAACCACGTAGAGGCTGGCAACCCTAGCTCTGATTGGTTGGTTACTCTTTTGCTCGGATCTTGTGTTAGATGGGCCTCTCTTTGAAAGTCTTCTCCCCTCACACACACACACACTTTTTTCTTTTTTGCACTTTTGAGAATAAAGTAATCCGTCCCATGGTTGATCACTTCATGCCTTTGATCTATCACGTGAAGGCTTGCACTGGAATAAATAACGTTATTCTTTAAAGTTACACTAGAATCCTGGACAAGACAACCTGGAGTCTCAAACATCCTTTGGCAGGAAAAGAAAATGTTTTCTTGAACTCTTGAGTGTCAGATGAACGAGTACAATCACTTTTGTTTGTCCTTAACTTACTTAAGGACAAACAAAAGTGATTGTACTCGTTGTTCATCTGACACTCAAGAGTTCAAGAAAACATTTTCTTTTAAAAAACATAAATCATCATTAAAATGAGATCTCAGGTAGGAAGCTGTCAGGACTTTCAAAAGGCTGCCAACCCCCAGGTGCAGCCTGGAGATATCCTAGAATGATAACTGGTCTCCAGACAACAGAGACCAGTTTCCCTGGATAAAATGGCTGCTTTGGAGGATGGACATTTGGCGTTATATCCTGCTGATCTCCCTTCCCTCCTCAAGCTCTCCCCTCCCCAGGATCCAACCCGAAATCTCCAGGTAGTTCCCAACCCAGAGTCAGCAACCCTGTGAACCCCTGTTACAATCACCCATCAGAAGCTGAGATTAAATACTACAAAGCAGACATTGCCAGTTTCTGCTGAGTTCAGTTCTCACTGACGCTATCTGTTGGCCTGGCCTTTTTGAAAAAAAGCTGCTGTAATCCAGCAGGCTAATTTCTGCCCTCTTCCTTCCATCCCCAATTTCTGCACTTTCATTTGTTCAGTTTCACTCCTCATCAGAGCTATATGGCTGAAGTCTAAACCATGTTTACTCAAACCTAGTTCTCAGAGCCAATTAGACCCAGCACATAAACAGAGCTCCTGCACTGTATGCAAGCGTAAAGACAATCATACCAGGAAAAGCTGAAGGCAGCAGGAAAAGAAAAAGACCCAACATATGATGGGCTGACTTAGTCAAGGAAGCTGTGCCCTTAGACTGCAAGACTTGAGCAAAGCTGTTGACCATAGAGTGCTTTAATAAAGGTAACAGTGGCCCCGGTCACATGGCAAAGTTGCCGCGAGAGAGGCACGGAAGGTTGGCGGATTATCCGGGCGCGATCACACCCCAACATCTGGGAAGTGGAGCACACCTGTGGCTTACCACCAACAATGCGAGTTAAAAAACTAGTACCTTCAAGGTACTAGTAAACGTTTGCCACAGGATGCCTCCAAGACTCCCGTGGTGTGATCGCGCCGGCGCACGGCATTCCCCTCCGGTCCCTCGTTTACCCGCCGGCACCCATGGTGTGCCGCCGGCGCGTCTGATCGTGTAATCGCGAATCAAACTGCGCCGGGGCAATTAGCCACGCCTCCCCCCCCCGCAATATCCAGCCCGCGTGACCGGGGCCAGTAAAGGTTTCCCTTGCTTGAAAGCCAGTCGAATCCGACTCTAGGGATGCGGTGCTCATCTCCGTTTCCAAGCCGAAGAGCCAGCGCTGTCCAAAGACGTTTCGGTGGTCATGTGGCCAGCATGACTAAACGCCAAGGCGCACGGAATGGTGTTACCTTCCCACCGAAGTGGTACCTATTTATCTACTTGCAATTTCTTGCTTGATCTTCTGGTCAGCCGTTCAGCTTTGGAGGACATTAATTTCTAGGTTTGCCATAAGTGCAGAGCAACTTGATGGCATGTAACACACACAAATAAGTAGTCATGGGAAGTCTCGGTTTGGATCAGGGTTGTGTTACAACCATTTCCTGGACCTCAATTTTCCCCTGCCCCCAGCAGAGGAAGTACTGTTTACCCCATGGGAACAAACAGCTAGGTATATGGTGTGTTAAATTCCCCCCACAGGGCTATGTGATGGGCTGACTCAGGCAAGGAAGCTGTGCCCTTAGATTGCAAGACTTGAGCAAAGCTGTTGACCATAGAGTGCTTTAATAAAGGTAACAGTAAAGGTTTCCCTTGCTTGAAAGCCAGTCGAATCCAACTCTAGGGATGCGGTGCTCACCTCAAATTTCCAAGCCGGAAGAGCCAGCGCTGTCCAAAGACATTTCGGTGGTCATGTGGCCAGAATGACTAACGGCAAAAAAGGCCAAGGCGCACGGAATAGTGTTACCTTCCCACCGAAGTGGTACCTATTTATCTACTTGCAATTTCTCGCTTGACCTTCTGGTCAGCCATTCAGCTTTGGAGGACATTAATTTCTAGGTTTGCCATAAGTGCAGAGCAACTTGATGGCATGTAACACACACAAATAAGTAGTCATGGGAGGTCTCGGTTTGGATCAGGGTTGTGTTACAACCATTTCCTTGACCTCAATTTCCCCCGCCCCCCAGCAGAGGAAATACTGTTTACCCCATGGGAAACAAACAGCGAGGCATATGGTCTGTTAAATTCCCCCCACAGGGCAAATAGCTACATCCAGCAGTACCTTATGGGCCAACAAGATTTTTTTGTGGTATAAGCTTTCAAGAATCAATGGTCCTTTGTCAGATACAAAAAAGTCACAAAACAAACAATGCCTTCAGATCTTTGTGAGAAACTGGATGAAATTTACTTAAAGGGGTTTAAAATCAGGCAAGGCAGCCTTACGACAATTTCCAATTTATTAAGAGGCCAGTTTGAGTCCTACAAGACAACCTGGAGTCTCAAACATCCTTTGACAGGCTAAATTAAGCAACAGCCAAGTAGTAAATTAAGGACAAACAAAAGTGATTGTACTTGTTGTTCATCTGACACTCAAGGGTTCAAGAAAACATTTTATTTTAAAAAACATTTCCTTAAAAAAACAACCTGCCTTTAGGAGTGTATTCGCTAATTCTGCAACCCAGTTTTTATTCTATTGCTGTATACTGTACCTATTGCATAGTTTTTAATGATGTAACCTTAAGGTTAGTATATTTTTGAAAAGCAGGAAAAGGACATATTTCCTGACGACTTCAACAAGTCATCACTACAACAAATCTCATTTTAAATACCTGTACTATTTCGGCTGTTATAATTGCTACTAACTAGGAATATTTCTAACCTTCCAACCCAATAAGACATTTACATCATTTTTCTTTAAAAAACGAGCTCAAAAGAGGACGGACACCAAAAAAAGAGGACATGCCCTCTTATCTGGTAACCATATGTAACCTGTCATGAGTCAAAAGGTTGGTCTATTAACCGATGGACTATAAAGGAAGTAAATGCCAAGTCACCATTGTGTTATGGCGACCCTTGCAGGGTTTTCAAAGGAAGAAAATAAATAAGATAAATGCATTATTTTCTTTATTTGTGTGTGTGTGTGTGTGTTTAGATGTGATGCACATTTAGAGAAACCTAGGAAGGAAATAAAAAAGTCTGGCTCTTTTCTTTTCTTTTGAAGCACATGCGTTAATTTGCCAAGCTTTATCAGGAGGACCCAACTGTCTCTTTCTGCTGCGCCGGCTGGCCTCTCGGGCGATTCCCGGAATCCACGCGCCTTCCCCAAAAGGGAAACTGAAAGCGCCAGGGCGGGAGCGCGCAGGAGCTGGAAAGCCCCGCGGCCCTTCTCCCAACTTGCGATCAGGCATCAGCCTGGCTACTAGTGACGAAACTGCATCCCTTGGTTGTGATTGGCCCGAAAGACCCGAGTTTAGGCGTTCCCCACGCCCGTCGAGGCAGTTTTGCAGTCCGAGAAGCTCGGGGCAAGTCGTGTACGCGGTAGCCATGGCCAAGGTGAAGGAAGCCATTCAGTGGACGGTCTTGATGCTGGCGGTCTGCATCCTAGTGGTGGAAGCCGCAAGTCGTAAGTTTTGCTTGTCTCCTTCGGTGCTCTTCTTCTTCACAGGGCGTGCTGAAGTTTCGGGCGTGCCCGGACCCGTCTCGGGGGTGGGGGGTAACGGGGCAAGTTCATCGGGCGCGTTCTCACGATCGAGTTATCTGTCGGAGGAGGGTGGGTGTGTGTGAGAAAAACTCCCCCCTCCCAATTTTCCACTAGGATTTTTCTAGTTGATAACTTTGGGGTTCTGATTCTGTTGCGTCGTGTGAAAGGGAGGCGGGGGGGCATAATTCGGATTAATGAGCGCGGAGTAGAGGAAGCTTCGACTTTTGGCGCAGATGCAAGGGGCGAGTGGGCGTGGGAAAGGGTCTTCCTTTCTCTCTCTCTCCCTTTCTCTTTTTTCCCCTTCCTGCTTTCACACCCCCCCTTCCCCCCGGCAGTCCAGAGGCAAGATGGATTGTGGAACCTTTGGGGAAGAACAGTGATTCCAGAAGGAGGGATCCTGTTAGTTTGGTACTTTGGCAACTAAGCAGGAGTCTTGTTTCCCCTCCGAGAGTAACACGGTTTCCCTCTAGCATAACCTTTGTGTGGACTAGAGGCTGCGCCACCAAGACACACGGCGAGCTTCAGGTGACAACTGGGCCAGAAAACCTATTATGCGGAAGGGAAGACTTGTCTTCGAGAAGCCACGAGACTCCTGTTTATTTTGGGAATGACGATGACCAATCATGTTTTACAGGGCTTGTTATTTTGGAAAGGGTGGTACAGATTTAAAACGAAGGACGTTTTCCTAACAATGGCGCTTCCTGCACAAAAGTTAGTTTCCTTTTTGCCATCTCCTCGCAGCTGACTTACGGCGACCCCCTGGTGTTTTCAAGAGACCAATGGAGGTGGTTTGCCATTGCCTTGCTCTGCGTCACAACCGTGGACTTCCGTGGTGGACTCTCAACTGAGTACTAACCAGGGCCCTGCTTCACTTCATATGGCATCCCTGTAGCAGGGCTGTCTTACGACTTTCATGGGCCCCAGGCATTTTTGCCTTTGTGGGCCTCTCCCACCATAATAATATCAATATGAAGAAGAGATTGGATTTATACCCTGCCCTTCACTACCCGAAGGAGTCTCAGAGCGGCTTGCCATCGCCTTTCCCTTCCCCTCCTCACAACAACAGACACCCTGTGAGGTAGGCGGGGCTGCGAGAGCTCTTTCGAGAAGTGCTCTTGAGAGCTCTGAAAGAACTTGTGACTGACCCAAGGTCACACCAGCAGCGGCATGTGGAGGAGTGGGGAATCAAACCCACTTCTCCCGGATTAGAGCCTGCGCTCCTGACCACTACACCGAAATTATTTTTGATATAACTTTAAATACTTCAATGTTTTCTTTTTTCCCTGTTTTAGATTTTCGTGGGCCCTAGGTGTTTCATTTTTTTCTGATGAGAGAAAAGAATTAAAACATTTTCCTGGGCCCCTAAAAGTATCATGGGCACTAGGCATTGTACCCACTGTGCCAGCCCTGCCCTGTAGAGTTTTCCAAGGAAGAGACAACAGAGGTGGTTTGCCGTTGCCTTGTTCTGTGTAGTGACCCAGGACTTCCTTGGTGGTCTCCCATCCAAATACTAACCGGGTCTGACCTTGCTTAGCTTCTGAGATGCGATGAGATTCATTGGGCTAACCTGGTCTATCCCGTTCAAGGCAAATCATATTCAACTGGTACTTTTATTTGTACTGCCAACAGTTAACAAAGACGTAAACATGTTTTTGGCGCCCTCAAAATTCTTCATAACCCTAGATATTATATGAAAAGAAAGAAGAAGAAGAGATTGGATTTATACCCCGCCCTTCACTACCCAAAGGTGTCTCAGAGCGGCTTACAAACTCCTTTCCCTTCTCCTCCCCACAACAGACACCCTGTGAGGTAGGTGGGGATGAGAGAGCTCTCACAGAAACTGCTCTTTTTCAAGGACAGCTCTTTTCAGAGCTACGGCTTGCCCAAGGACATCCAGCCAGGTGCAAGTGGAGGAGTGGGGAATCAAACCCGGTTCTCCCAGATTAGAGTCTGCGCACTTAACCACTACACCAAACTGTGTGGGACAGATATAAAGGTTGATAGGGTATGTGACATCTGAGGAATGCTGCACTCAGCGTGTACAGAGCATGCACACTCCTTGTGGAACTGTGTTATTTCTCATATAAGCTGTTCAGGCTATAAGGGCAAATGACCCTTAAAGCTGTGGTGGGAAATGAATAGCTGTTTTTCCACACATGCCAAGAAATATACTTTCATGCTGCTTCCCACCCTTGGGGATTAGAATTTGTAACCCCACGGAGAGGTGAGGAAATTATTTTTACGTGGGACAAAACAGCCATTTGGGAAAGGGTTAAGCAGATCCTGCCAAACGCTGCTGTTCTCAAAAAACTGCCGCCTCCAAAACTGCTTTTAATTTAATAAAAAATATAAGTGGGCTTTGTTTTGCATATTTACATGTAAGATGTAGTTTGCCGGCCTACTTCTGGGGAATTTCCATCTCAGATCTGTGCCCAGTTTCAGTTTCACAATAATTGCAAATGGCTTGGGAAAGACCCAGATCGGAGCTTAGTAGAAATACAAATCCAACAAGGTCATTAATTTATTTTAATTTATTTAACTTTAGACTTTATATCCCGCTCGAACCCTCTTTCTCAGGGGGTCTCAGAGCGGCTTACAAGTGGTGCTAGTCACACAATTTTTCCCTAACTAGGGCCACAGAGTTTGTAGGGGTGGGATTACCTATCAGGGGTGGGATTACCTATTACACTCCTCCCGGGTATAAATATATCTGTGTTAAGACAGAGAGCATCTTAAGAGAATGTTCTCATCTGTTCCAGCTGAAGCGACATTGCTCCCCAAGTTATTTCACTGTTCGACACAGTTCCTCGATTTACGGCAGATAATGGGTACCTTCCACACTGGCAGATATTCAGCAAGGCCATCCGTCCAGGCCTGCTAATTAGGCTCACTTTGTATTGGGTTAAATGTAGAAAAAAAATCATTTGCCTTGGAAGCGCAGAAGCATTACACAGTATCCACGATCCTCCATGTTTCTGGGTTAAAGGGCTGTTCAAACAATTACAAAGATGATCTGACTTCAGTGGTAATGAGAGAAAGAAATTTTGGAAGCGCAGAAGCATTACACAGTATCCACGATCCTCCATGTTTCTGGGTTAAAGGGCTGTTCAAACAATTACAAAGATGATCTGACTTCAGTGGTAATGAGAGAAAGAAATTTTACTTAAAAAAACAGAAGCACATCTTTCATGACATATTCATGTAGGTACATTTAACTTACTGTGAACAGATTAACTTTGAAAAGGTTAACTTGCTGCAGCTCAGATAAGAGACGGAAGAGAGGTCCTATATAAGATGAAGCAGAAGGCAAGGAAGGGCCCAAGGGCTCAACAGCTAACCAATGAGAGGGTGGGGCCAACTGCCGAGTATACCTGAATGAGCAAATTTTCTTAACTCCCTCACAGATCCTCTTGCATGCAGAGTTATAATATCCAACACTTAGTTCAGCTGTGGATCTGGTATTGGGGGGGGGACTTGCTTCCACCTGGAAGGTTCCATGGGTGCTGTCCGGTGATTGGTCGAGAAGTTCAGGCGGCTACGGCCTGCAGTTTTCTATAGAAGTAGTTAGATAGCCCAGGCTAGCCCAATCTCACCACACCTCAGAAGCTAAGCGGGGTCGGCCCTGGCCAGTATTTGGATAGGAGACCTCCAAGGAAAACCAGGGTCAAGATGTAGAGGCAGGCAATGGCAAACCACCTCTGAATGCCTCTTGCCTTGCAAACCCCAGGGGGTCGCCATACGTCAGTTACGACTTGATGGCACTTTCCACCACAGTTAGTGAGAAGAAGCGTTATCTTTTCGCTTTACCTGTTCTCCTCTGTGCCTCCAAGAAGACATCTGTATTATGCTCAAGGACTCTTTGCCTCCAGAACCAACTATGCTGTATTAGGACTCCCAAGTAAGAGGTAGCTTAGTTAGCTTTCTTGTTTTCCTGTGCATTGTACTGCCACTGAACTGTATGCCCTGCTTTAAACCTTTTTTCTTGAATTTCTTCAATAAAGCTCTCTTTTTGAACATAAGAACATAAGAGACGCCAGTGTTGGATCAGGCCAAAGGCCCATCCAGTCCAACACTGTGTCACACAGTGGCCAGAAATACCAGGTGCATTCAGGAGGTCCACCAGTGGGGCCAGGACTTTAGAAGCCTTCCCACTGTTGAAAACCCCCCCC